ACATTATATTTCAATTTTGCTTAAACCGATTGTATATGACAAATATTAACTTATCTTTATAGTTATAATAAAAATAACATGTAAAAGTCTTGTTACAAGTTCATCAAATCAACGATTGGTGATACATAATTTTATATATATATTTCAACATTAAAATTTTCTTTGTTTCTTTAAAACTTGATTGAAAAATATAAACATAATTATAATATAAAATACAACCGTATTTTAAATAAATATAAATCTATTAGCATAATATATTAACACAAATAAAAATTAAATTATCTTTTTGGTTCTATTATACATAAAAATGTATACACAGTTTTTCAATTCCCTGGAATCATAAGTTCTTGATCTATTGTCATTTTCATTCTAAATTTATTTGGCCTGAAGCATAAAATACATAACTTAAAGAAATTAACACGTTCACTGCCCCAGCTATTTAACATACAATTTCCACTCACACTTACCACAAAAGAATAAATTTAACACAGACTATACATTATATGTAAACCTGACAGAAAAAATGACCATACATCACATACATGCACAAAACAGTGAACGTGTTAAAGAACTTTAATTACCTAGAGTTTTTATTATCTAAAGATTCTTCATTTTCATTCATTTCTTTAGATTCCTCTTTCATTAAATTTACATCCGTATAAACATCTTCAATGTATGTTATTGAATTATGATCTACATTAATCCCTTCTTTGTTTGCATACGTATTCAATAACCATCCTTGATTACTGCCTATTTCTGTTGACACAACAAGAAACAACTCTTTTTCTTTACTGTCTATCTGGTCCTTTAGATACACAAGCAAATCGTGGTCCTATTATCATATTAACTTTTACTTAATATATTACTTTCCTTATGTTACTTTTAATACAGAAAATCAGTTAAATGTTTTTTACTGACCTTTCCTATGAGTTGTGGAGAATCCAGTTTGGAATCAAGATTATAAAAGGCACCATGAATTTTTTTCAGGGCAATCCAATGACGTCTTTTTAAAGGAAGTAACACAAAACCTAATTTATACTCTGTAGGTACGTTTAATATGAAACCTTCAATATTGTCTAAACATAGACATTTAGGATCTCTAAAAACGCATTATAAATTCACAATTAAAAATTTCTTTGTAATTCAAGAATTTACACTTATGAAATATCATATTATTTTTAATTACTTTCTGTTAACAAACCTGCGTTTATCAAACCAAACTGCTTCACGTCCCTTTTGTTGTAATGCTGCCATAATAACATTAATATCATAATTACCAAGACCTAACAATGACTTATGAGGATTAATCCATACATCTGGACTTAAATTGTAACAAATCTTATCTAATTCTTGTTTACTAAATCCTCTTTCTTGAAACAAATTGTTTAACGCATGTAAAGCACAAAGTTCTTTTACCTATAAAAAAATGATAAAAATTATAGTATAAAGGTTAATATAGTTTCATAAGCTTACAGGTAAAAACATTTAATGAATTACTTGTCTTTCATGGTATATAGATCCAATCATATCAGCTGTTGTATTTGCAACCATTTTGTTTACATAATTTTTTTCTGTGTGATATTAGCAATTTTATTAGTATTTCAACTGCATTGCTCACTATGATTTTTATTGCATAACAAAATTTAAAACGCTTTGCAGTAAAATATCATTTATTCATAATTTTCAATAGCTGTTAACTGTGTCAAAAAAATCAAGTAATTGTCAATTAGAAATTAATCATTCATAAGACAATTATAGTCAAAATATATATTACGGACAAAAACAAATATTGTCACTACAAAATACACTATAATTTTATAACAGATCAATGAAAAGTATTGCCGACAAACATCGATACAACATACGTGCTACTTGTTTGCGTTCATTCATAATTATAATTTGTTAGATATTCGTAAGACAGGTTTATGATTACATTTCCTTGTGTTATTCGAAAATGCTAGTATTCAATGACAATACGCAGTTGACACATAAAATATTTTAGCTTACTGGCTTACTTAATGCTACAAGGTGGGTATTACAGTTGGGGATTTTTAGACTAGCAACTAGATTGTTATTGCAGGTGTCGACTAGTTTCCCTCAAGCTAGTGACCTGATCAGGGGTTCCCCTATTACCTCTACTTTAGGAGCTTCCCGAGTTGTTAAGTAGATAAGTGAGCAGCTCTGTGTTCAGTACAAAATAGGTGAAAGTAGGTATGGAAAGGGTAACTCTCGCGAGGGGAAAAACCCTAGAGAACTTGTTAGCTCTCAGTTCGACACCTGTGTATATTGTACTATATGTTACTATTGCTAAAAGCGCAAACTTTTACTGATATCTGACGCTTCTATTTTAACTAATGTTCAAATTGCTTGAATTTAAATTAGAAATTTTATTTTACGATTGTATTACATAATTATAATGTTATTGCACTTTTTGATTATGAACAGTGCATACATGTATGAATTTAATAAAAATGTTAATATTAGTTAACCTATAAAATATTAGAAATCACATTGAATGGTTAAGTTAAAAGTCTGTATAGGAATATGATTGTATTTCGAATTTAAACAGTAAAATTTATAAAAATGTTAGAAAAATCATTAGAAAAATTAGGATTTACTACATTTAAATTACTTTATTCTTAGATAAGATTTTTTTATATATATATTTAAAATGGATATTGAATACAAATTTATAAGAGAAATAGATTGTAAGCAAGGAGCTGTGCGGTCTGTACGATTTAGTGGTATGTACTGTTTTGTGTCAGTTTTTTATATTTAATATGGATTTTTTTTATCAAGAGATATGAATTTTCATCAAAAATATTTTTTAGTTGATGGTACGTACTGTTTAACTTGTGGATCTGATAGAAAATTGAAATTATGGAATCCGCACAGAGGAGTTGCTTTAAAAACGTATGGAGGACATGGAGATGAAGTAATGGATGCTTGTGCATCTTGCGATAGTAGTCAAATTGTTTCATGTGGATTAGATAAATCAGTGATTCTTTGGGATGTTGCAACTGGAACCTTGGTTCGTCGTTTAAGAGGTCATGCAGGTCCTGTCAATACAGTAAGGTGAATACATACACAAATGTATTTTATGTATTTATGTAGCCCAAATATAATAAGATAGATTCTCTTTCAAATATTAGATTTAATGAAGAATCTACTATGGCCATTTCTGGATCAAGAGATAACTCAGTTATGTGTTGGGACGTACGTTCTAAAGTCCCAGAACCTGTGCAATGTTTAGGAGAAGCTAAAGATTCTATTTCCAGTGTTAAGGTATCAGATCACGAAATTTTGACAGCGTCATTTGATGGGAAGATACGCAGATATGACATCCGCGTTGGTGAAATGTATGAAGATTATATGGGAGGTTAGCAAATAACATATTACGTTTATAAAAAGAATAAGTACCCCAAATGTATACTGTAATTAAGTATAATAGAAATATTGTAGATGCAGTGACATGTGCTAGTTTCACAAGAGATGGTCAATGCATAGTGGTTAGTTGTGCAGATGCTGTAGTTAGATTAATGGACAAAGACTCAGGAGAGTTACTTGGAGAATTCACAGGTCACGTAGCAGATAATTTATGCTTGGAATCAAGCGTTGATATTCACGATACTCATATTCTTTCTGGTTCAGCTGATGGAAAGTTGTGGATATGGGACCTAGTTTCTCAGAAAGTTGTTGCAAAACTTTCAGGTATTAAACCTACAAAACATCCAATAGTGTCCTTGTGCGTTCATCCGCAAACCAACTGTTTCTTAGCTGCTAACGGACCAACCATTTTAATGTGGAATGCTGTGTCTTTGGTGCAGGAATAATATTTTATAAAGAAACTTCTATTATGTATATTCTCAATCACAAGTACAACGTTATATTGTAAAATAAAGTTAATCGTTAATTTTTTTTACTGTATACAGAGTACGTTTTAATGATAACAAATAGTGCTAATGCAAATCTCGCGATATACGATATTCAAGAATTCGTTTCCATAAACTTTCGCGACGTTACCGCAGTCAACACATGAGTCTGTTACCTGTACATGAAAGAAATAGAACATGCTTAGGTTAAGCTGGGTCTTGGCATACAGTTAAAGAAACAGGCTACGAGTACGCACGTAGCGTAACTTCAGTACGAGCAGGACAGAGAGAGGAGAATACCATTGAAAGAAGAGAAACGGGAGGGAGCACTTGCGCGCGCAGGTGGCGCGATATCGGTGCGTCAGAATCAGTGGTTGCCGCCGTCTCGCCCGGGTGAGGGAAAGAAAAAGAGAGAAAGAGGGAACAGTACTGTGCAGCGAAGGGAAATAGAATAGCTGCGCAGGAGTAAGAAAGGACGACGGATCCGTATTACGAATGAGAAAGACAGACGAAAAGAGGGAGCAAGAGATATACAGCGAGAGACACGGAGGTGCTCGTACACGGGGCGGGCCTGCCAGTCTCAACCACTTCGTGGAGTACACTTTTTATTCTGTATTCGAGCACGCAGCCACTCTCAATTGTCGGCTGTTTGCACCTACACAATCGAGGATCCGTGACTCGCCCGATGCAGAATAGAGGCTATTGGACCGCGTGGTTTCGCCAGACTTTACTGGTAATCGGTCAGCACACTGTGAGTGAGGATTGTTGATGTTGTTGTTGTTGATCGATCCCTCCCGGCTTGCCGGCTGTCAAAGTCACCGGAAACACTGAAATCGTGGACCAAGAGAATCGCGAACGCAAGCCGAATTCAAGAATCTCGGTGTCAGTGGCAGTGGTAGAGAGTGTAGTGGAAGATACAAAGGAAACGGGTGTGTGAGGAAAGAGGGTTGTTATGGGGCGAAGCTGTCGTCTGCTGGTACTTTCGCCGCTGCACTTGCTGACTATATTCGGCTTCCTCGCGGCGGCTGATGCTTTCTCCACTGACAGTAAGTCGCATTTTTCGAATGTCGGATCCCACCTAAAACAGAGAAAGTGCAAGGTGAACGGGAGCGGAATTTTTTTCTTTTGAGAAATTCACGCGATCGCGCGACATTTGTTGATTGACTGAGTATACGTGTATGGGGATGTGCCATGCGCCGGGTGTCGCTTACATAATCGACATATTCCGCGTGCATTTTTCGACGACACGTTCCTGTGAATACGGTCGACGTAGGACGCGGGAAACGAGGACAGTCTCCAATGTAAAAGAATATATCTGACACGCGAGCTCAATATCTCCGCGATCTCTACGAGGGGGATGCTGGTGGCGTGGAGAGGTTGGTCTCTCTGTAAATGGGGGAAGACCGCGATAGATGGAAGCACGTGAAGATCTCGCAACAACTGTGCTCCTCATCCGGTAGGATCAGGGGTATTCTTGAAAACTCCCGTACAGAGAACAGCAGTGTTAGATACACATCACTGAATTTTTCATTTCGTTTCCCATTTATCTGTTGTAATTCTTACGGACAATAGAGACGTTCGCGACGGAAATTTATTTCCACACTTTTAGAGGATACCTCGAGAGCTTTTATTTTCGCCGCGCCGGGAACAAAAGATGAAGCTTGTAAATGCGAAACTTTTCTTTTCAGGGGAAAAAGCATCCGTAGAATAATTGATGTATTTCATTGGATGACCGGGAATTGTATATTTTTGTTATTCGATATTAAAAAAATATATAGAGTAACTTTCAATCGGTTTTAAAATATAAGCTGATACGATTGTTTATTACATTTGTATGATATTGATTTCTTGGAATTGAAAAATAAATGAAATAAATAGTCTTTGTTAAGGTAATTTTCAATTTTATGCATGTACATTGTTTGTGATTGACTTAATTATTAGGTAATCGAAGTTTGAGAATATTTGTGTTAAGGCAAACAATTTTAGAGTACAATCAAAAAGAAATTCATAAACGGCATAAAGTTTTGTACACATCATGTATAAGAAGTTTCTTTTCTACTTGGTTACTTTTATTTTTATTATTATTATTATTATGATAATACAATAGTTATCAAAATTTTATTTTTGAAACGTCTACTATTACGTGTACTATGATGCGTACTCGATTATACATGTTTCTTCTTTACGGTCTAATCACGTTTCTATTAACCTTTACTGTCACGTGTGAAACAAGGTGCTTCCGATGAAATCGATATCAGAGTGTATATTTAATATTTATTGCAATTATAGGGTATTAAAACAGCAACCATACAAAGTTATTTAATAATCGAACGAAAATACAAAGCAATTGATCTTTCATTCAAAAGATGGCATAGTAGAAATTGAATAAATCGGTTTGGATTTACTTGTCGCATACATAGAACGTAAACGTATTTTGAACGTCGTATAAATTTTGCGCGTGTGGTTAATATTTAAATTATTATCTTCAAAAGCGCCGTTAAAGTCACGTAAATCGTATTTCAAAATCGAATCATCCGTTTCCATGATATAAATTAATATTTTATACAGGCTGATAATATTTTTCGTCAGCGAATCGAAATATGAATAAATTCGTTATACTATAGGATATGTTTCCACAGAAATCTATTTCATTTTTATAGTATACATACAAACAAAGGCTATTCAATGTACGTTATCATTGCGAAATTATTTTTGAAGTACCGAGATAGGTAATGCTATTTCCGCACAGGTACTTGAGCACAGTCATCGAATCTTAATAATAACCATAGGAATGTGAGGTTAAATTGTCGCAGCTGTTTCTAGCTTTGCGAATACCTCAAAGCCTCAAAATTACATCAATTTCTAATTTGTTACGCTCCCTTTGTGCGAAGTTAGTTTAAACGCGGGGGCCGGCGCACACGATCTGACAAACCGAACCGGAATTTCATTATTTCCTTTACCGACCATATTTACCATTTGTCAATTATAACCTGCATTTATTTCGACTGCGGAATGTCGTTTCCTTACGCGATTATCAACACACGGTCATTCGTTCGAGCGACAGGCTTTCGGTGCATTTCCATTTAACACCTTAAATGCCAGACAAACATATTTCCTATTTTATCTGTAAATCATAACATCTATTTATATTTTATGTCGTGCATTCGTAATCTCCGTGGCAGAAACAGAAATGCTTATCCTTAAAATTACAATATTTTTGTATACTTTTTTGTTTACAAACCAATAGAAAATTATTCAAAAAATGAAAATTCAAAAAAATGTTCAGTTTTTATATGAATATGACAAATTGTATAGATGATGCACAAATAAATATTCAAATACCTGTTTGCCTATATAAGAATTAGATCGATTTATATGATAATTTCTAAAAGAGACATTCATTTTGTTATAATTGTGAAACAAGAAACTCGAAATGGATTATTTTGACTCATTCGGTACGTAGTTCTACTACTAAAGGCTTCACAAGTGCGCGCGTTTTACCTGTTTACGTAACATTGTAGCAAAGGCATTGTTGCGTGCACGCGTATACATCGAACCGACAATATTGATCCTCTTATCCAGCATCTCTATTTCTGTCAGTGTAACATCAAAATTGACGCGAAAAGCCACCCCGTGATTTTCTTTTTCGTCGATCGTCATATTTTCCGTGAAATATATTTCTGGAATTTAAACGACGCGAGTTAAACCAGAATTACGCGACGTCGGATTTCATGCGCATCAGTCGGCTAATGGTATGATTAGTTCATGAAATTCGATTCAATTCAACGTGTACTCGTGATTTCAAAGATGTTCGTTAGCGTCGCGAATCTTAAAGTCTTATTTCCTCTGACGCGATTTCTAAGAAACGCTCAAATTACCATTTATGCAGATATTGTATCTTCATACATTGATCTTGTACGTTTCAAATCCTTACTTTTCGACGTTATTGTGACATGCTTTACAAGATGCAGACGCTTAGACGCTGTTGTTGCGCGTGTAATTAAGATTCTTACGTAGATGGCAGTACTGACACTCGAAACGAACCGTTACGTTTAGCCGAAAAGGTGGCAAAGTCTCCCTTATTTTAATTTCCTTAGAATTGAGAAAAAATATTCAGATGCATGGTTTACTTTTGATAAGTACAAGTATAATGTTCTTGAAAAGAAAAACACGAATACCAATAATGATAAAAGTTCAAAATGATAATGGAAATGTGACAATGAAATAGCGGCAACGGTGACAATGTGGGTATCACAATTCATTTCTCACTATATATGCGTTTTTTTTGTCTTTGATATTATGTTTCGCACGGGAATTTGACCGAGTGTTTGACATTAATCAAACGTCCATTACGGTACGCGTATTGCACATGGTGTTTTAAGGCGGATTTCATGAGACTACGTGATTCGAATATAAAATGTAATCGTTCTTCACGAAATGATTTTTATTGGATCGCGAATGAAATGTCAGTTACGTGGACGTTGGATTTTTAAGCGTGGCGGTAATAGAGGGCAAAGATCAACACCTGAGAAAGGTTATGTTTGCTTATAAAAGCGTTCGGTATTCAAAACCGGCGTTACGTCGTTAGGTATTAAGCGACAGGGGATACCAAAGGAAGTTGTAGACGATAAAATTTCAAAAGCGGCGTCGCGAATTGAACCGGGAATAGTTAGTTATTCTATGGCCGTTCCTTGCTAGGTAAAGATTGAAGAAGTAAGAAAGATGGATAAGTGGTTTTTCGCATGAGTTGAGCGGTAGCTTGGAACTTAAAACGAATAGGGACAGGTCGTTTTGTTACTTTGAAGAGAACAAACAAAATCCATTTTCAGGATAGGATGAAAGTTTACTTCCAACTATTTTTGTTTTTAATCTTGCTTTTGTAAATCTGGGCCGGTATTATATTCGACTAAACTTTAAAACTGTCGATCTGAAGAATAATGATAACCGCAGATATGCTGTGTCCAGTTATACCACCCAGTCTGGGGATTAACTATTGTTTCGTTATAAATATTTATTATTTTCTAATAAAATACCGATAACGTTTTTTAGAATTAA